TCCCAGCTCAGTGTGAGGCTCCCCCAGCCCAATTTGAGGGTCTCCCAGCTCAGTGTGAGGCTCCCCCAGCCTAGTTTGGTGGTTCCCCAGCCCAGTTTGAGGGTCTCCCAGCCCCAGAACAGTGTGAGGGTCCCCCAGCCCTGCACCGGGGCCTGCTGATCAGCCGGCTCTGGGGTGGTATGAAGACGGTGATGCGAGGCCGTGTTTGGCCCTGCTCCTCCATGACCACCTGTCTCCACTGTTGGTGGCCAGCTGTCGTCATGGCAACCTTGGCAGGTGAGGAGTCACAGGAGTCACCTCCAGCCTCAGTGACACAGTGGTCCCAACAGGTTCCCCTGCCCTTCACCCACTGCACCAGCACCGTCCCCGGTGTCTGCCTGGAGCAGTGACTGCCTGGAGCTCTGTCCTCACAGGGAGGACCTGCATGTCCCCATGATGGACACCCCCACTGCCTGCATGTCCAGCTGCTGGGCTCCACGACAGCTGGGATCCTCAGCATGGGGACACACATGGGTGAGTCAGTCCCCACCGTCTGCTTGGCCTGATGGAGCACCTCCATGTCTCAAACAAAAATAGAATCATGGAATCATGGAATCATGGGATCATGGAATGGTTTGGGTTGGATGGGACTTTAAAGCCCATCTGGTGCCAACCCTATCATGGTCAGGGACACCTCCCACTGTCCCAGGCTGCTCCAAGCCCCAATGTCCAGCCTGGCCTTGGACACTGCCAGGGATCCAGGGGCAGCCACAGCTGCTCTGGGCACCCTGTGCCAGGGCCTCCCCACCTCACAAGGCAGGATTTCTTCAAAATATCTAATCTAAACCTATTCTCCTTCAATTTGAAACCATGCCTCCTCATCCTGTCCCTCAAGGCCCTTGACCAAAGTCTCTCTCCATCTTTCTTATTGGCTCTTTCAGATACTGGAAGGCTATAATTAGGTCACTCCAAAGCCTTTTCTTCTTCAGGCTGAGCTATCCCAATTCTCACAGCAGAGCTGCTCCATCATCTTGGTGCCTCCTCTGAGCTCCTCCAGCAGCTCCACATTCTTCCTGTGCTGGGCCCAGGGCTGGGGCAGTTCTGCAGGTGGGGTCTCACCTGAGCGAGGCAGAGGAGCAGAAACCCCCCCTCCCCTGCTGCCCACGTTGGGGCTCAGCCCAGGGCACTGCTGGCTTTCTCCAAGGTCAGATCCTGCCATCCTATCAGAGATCCCAACAACCGCTCTTGGCAGCAGGGTCAGGCCAGTACAAAGCTCAGCACCAGCAGCTCTGGATGCTCAGCTCTCTGACCAGGATGGAACCCCATGTTTATGGAAGTGAAGTTGCTTCTCCATGTACTGTGGTGGAGAGAGAGCTGTGGTGACCTCTTGGCAAGAAATCCAGGGAAAGCCAGCAGCAGTTCTTCCAGATCCACRCTGGAGCACTGAAAATAAACTCCCATCTGAGGAGCAGGAACATGAAGTCTATGCTGCAGAAAGTACAGAGGATCTGAGATACCCCAGTGAGTAGTGGATTTTACTATAAATAAAATCAGCACAGTTTTCACATCTCATTTGTACCAGGGCCCTGACAGGGACTCTGAGACCACCACGTGCTCAGGGAATGTTGTTTTTTTCCAGCACAAACTGTGCTGCTGAGGCAGTACAGCAACTTGCTGTGAGTCAGGAGACTTGGAATGTCACCAACACTTGTTTTTCCTAACTGGAATACAGCTCTGAGTTTTGAGACAGCAACACAAAGTCCTGTCATCTTCAGTCTTCCAGAGAGGGAAGGAAGAGCACGGGCTCCAGCATCTGTGGTTGGGATAGACCCAAAGATGTCCTGACYCTTTCCCTTCCCCCACCTGATTGGCACAACTCTTTTTCAGGAGATGCCTTGGCCTTCTTTAGAACATCCATGGTTGTTGTCCCTGCCCGTAACAGGGCATTGGAACAAGATGAACTTAGAGGTTACTTCCAACCCAAACTGTTCCATGATTTTAGGATTTGGGCAAGCTGCTTGTGCTCATGAAGACCCCATTCCTTGCTGGGGTCCCACAGCCCCAAGAGATGGGAGGGGTTGGAGCCAGGTCGGGGTCAGGCTCTTCTCCCAGGGAACAAGAGACAGGACAAGGGAGATGGCCTCAAGTTGTTCCGGGGGAGGTTTAGGAAATTTTTTTTCACAGAAAGGGTGGTAAGGCATTGGAACAGGCTGCCTGGGACTACAGGTCCCCATCCCTGTAAATATTATAAAAAYGTGTATGTGGCACTTGGGGACATGGCTTAGGGCTGACCTTGGYTGTGCTAGAGGAATGGTTGGATTTAGTGATCTTAGAGAGCTTTTYCAACCTTAACCATTCCATGATTCACTAATTCTATGACTTTAAAAATGTCTTCAAGCTCCTGTGATTTCATCTTTAGAAACTCAGCTACTCAGCCAAGAGCCTGCTCAGTGTAGGGCAGGAGCCTGTGACAGAGAGAGCCACCAGTGAAGCCACCAAATGGTTAAGGAGAAAGCTTGGAGAGGATTTGTTACTGCTGGAGCAGAGACTGTGGGACTGGAAAGGAATCTGAGGGRTCATCCTGTCCCTCTCCTGACCTCCAGTCCCATTTGGGCTGCTTCAAGCATTCTCAGATCTCTGTCCCTGGGCCAGGTTGTCCTACCAGGAAAAATGCAGTCTTCCTACATCCACCTTAAAAAAGGCTTTGCCAACCTAACCCAGCCCCACAGGCAGGACAGTCCCTGACACTATTTGAGGACTGTGATGGGGTAGGTTTAAGAGCACAGCTCAGCATATCCCGGAAGGATATAATTTCCTGGCTCAGACTCCCCAGCTTAGCAAGTGTTTGTTGCTGCTGCTTCCTGCTGCAGATCCCAAATCCCGATGTGCCAGTGCAGCTCCYGACGGGCCTCAGGGCGACAGTTAATCCCTGTCCTGAACCAGAGATAATTTCCACCCTGTGCCTGTGCTCCCAGGCACGCAGTAAATCCACCCTGGATTTCCTCTCCTCTGTGTGGGCACACGCTGCTCCTGCTCCGGCGCCATCCCAGCACGTTCCGGCACCAATTCCAAGGAAGGGTTCAGCACTGGTTCAGCAGCAGATCCAGGAAAAACTGCCTGGCTAGATGTCATAACTACACCATCACACTGAACGCACATTTATTTCTCCCATCTTGGACTTTCACGCTTCACCTGGAGATCCTTGATGGAGAGAGACTTGAGACAAGGACCTGGAGTGCCAGGACAAGGGGAATGGCTTCCCAGTGCCAGAGGGCAGGGATGGATGGGATATTGGGAAGGAATTGTTCCCTGGAAGGATGGGGAGGCCCTGGCACAGGGTGCCCAGAGAAGCTGTGGCTGCCCCTGGATCCCTGGCAGTGTCCAAGGCCAGGCTGGACATTGGGGCTKGGAGCAGCCTGGGACAGTGGAAGGTGTCCCTGCTCATGRCAGGGGTGGGATGGGATGACCTTTAAGTTCCCTTCCCATCCAAACCATTCCATGATTCCATGATTCKGTGTCAGCCAGCACCTCCAAGCATGTGGAGATGCCACCCATTCCTCAGAGCTGTGACCCCTCCTCACAAGGGCTGTSCCCATCATTCCCTGCTCCAGCTRGGCTCATCCTGCCCCATGCCAGGGACTGCTCTCCGGGAAGGTGTCCCATTCGCTCTTGGGGGTCCCATCTGCTCCCCTCCTGCAAAACCCCAGGGCTGGGATGACCCAGCTTGGCCAAAGCAGCACTGGGCTCAGGACACGGGCAGCTGTTGGAGTGACAGGGGGAAACCCAATCCTTCCTGGGGCYGGAGCAGAGGGATAGCACCAGGCTGAGATCACAGCCCAGAATACCCAGTGAGAGGGTCACCACACGGGCCACCCTCCTGCCACTGCCAGGCCCTCCMTGGGCACCACAACCCCCAGTCCCACCCCTCAGGACCCCCATGGCCAGCCCAGCTCTGGCCACCACTGCACAGGGACACCCGGCACCCATATCTGGCCATACTCCCTGGAGCTGCAGGGCACCAGGAGYACAAGGCACTGAATCCATGGTGGAAAAGGCAAAGCCGTGGATGGAGCCAAKATCAGGGCAGACCCCAGTGCCAACAAATGAGTCAGGGGGCTGSGATAGGAAGGGATGCCATCGGGAAGGGTTCCTGAGCCAGCGAGGCCACAAGCAGCCGGTTTTACAGGTACCACTTCTCCTGGAAAACCAAAAGGCTTTCTAACACTCCCTGCTATGGAAAAGCCTCTGGAATGCAAGCCCAGAAAGCAAACAGGCTCCTGGCCAGAACAGGGCCCACTGAGTGATACGTGGGGGCCCTTTGTATTCTTTTCGGGATGGGCACCACTCCAGCCACACCTGGGACACCCTGGCAAAGGTGACAGCGGTGGTGACGCTCTGGGCACAGCCCGGAGAGCTGCCCTCCCCTCACAGTGTGTTGGGAAGGACCTGCTCCTCAGGTGCTGCTRGAATTGGCCTCCAAACTCACTGCCCTCCTTTCCATAATGGAAAAAAATCGCTGTTTGGGAACRAGGGCGGGAACCAGCGTGGATTTTCCAGGGGAAGTGGGCTGTGCTTATGTGCTGAAGTGAGTCACTGGGCTGAAGAGGGAAGGGCATGGTGTAATTTTTGGGGCTGTCCTGTGCAGGGCCAGGAGCTGGATCCATGATCCTTGTGGGTCACTTCCAGCTCAGGATATTCCATGATTCCATGACTCAGGAGACAGGATGCTCCAGCATCATGCCACCCCAGGGCAGGGTGGAGCTCCCAGCCCTTCTCCAGACACTTGTGGTCAGTGACACCTCCCCGTGTCACCACATCCCTCCCATGTCCTCTGGGGTGTCCCAGTGCCAGCGCTGGGGCTGCCAAACCGCAGCTGTCCCTGCTGGAGCTGGAGATGCTGGAAACGGCTTCCCCAGGAGCTGGAACATCCCGAAGCATTTCTGTGCCTCAGTTTCCTATCCCCGCACTGGGTGTTCCTCCCTTCCTTCCTYCTTGGGCAGGAGATCACAGGGAGCCGAGGGTGGAGTACAACAAAAATAGAGCTTTATTTTGGGACAAGTGCAATTGGAGCTGGGTCCTTCGGCCCCGGCGTAGAGACATGAGCGTGGCAACAGCCACCACGGACCCTGGCAGCGGTGCCAGGGCACACACACGGGGCTGTCCCTTTGCCATGGTGAGTGTGTGCTGTGTCACAGCCCAGCACTGTCCCGTGTCACAGCCCAGCACCGTCCTGGAGTGATGGCAGCTGGTCTGGGCTGCTTCCGTCACCTCAGCCGGGCTCTCGGCATCCCAGCCACGGATGCCAGTCTGCAGTGAGCTGGGAGGGACTGGGACAGGGCCGGAGCTGTGGGGGCCGGCAGGGCACAGTGGGGACAAAGACAATGCTGACAGGACCACCGGCAGCCCCATGGGATTGTCACGGCACAGTGGGGATGGGGACAGGAGAGGGGACACGCACCTGCCCTGTCCTGGGCGTCCCATTGGCCACAAGAACCGAGTGTACAGAGAGCCAGGGGCCACTCCAGCCAGCAGAGCTCAGTAGTGACACTGACACACACACACACACACACACACACACACACACACACACACGTGTGCAGGTGGGACAGCAGCCAGAGGCATTGAGCCGTGGATCCAGAGCTGTGGATCCAGAGCCGTGTCCCTGGGCGTGCCCAGCCTGTGTGTGCACACAGGGACACACGTGCAGAGCCAGTGCACACACACAGGTACCTGCTCACCTGCACAGAGCCACTGTGCACAGCGGTACCTGCCAGCAGCACACACCTGCAGCACACACACAGAGCGCTGTGCACGCATGGAGGGGCACTGACACATCCACTGTGCACACCAGCACACGTGTGCCACACACACACACTCACATATGTACAGTCTGTACCAATGCACACGTGCCCACGAGCACAAGACCTGCCTGCACAGAGCCTGTGCACACCAACATGCACATCAACACACATTTGCACACCAACACACACAGAGCTGTGCACACCAACGTGTGCAGTGTCGTACACATCAACACGTGTGCCCCACAGAGCCACACTCACACCCGCAGAGCCTGTGCACACCCACAAGCAGAGCTGTACACAGATCCACTCACACCTGCAGAACCTGTGCAATTCAACACACACGTGTGCAGTGTCATACAGAGCAGCACACACATGTGCAGAGCTGTGTACACAACACACGTGTACAGAGCTGTGCACACTGACACACGCAGTATCATACAGAGCAGCACACGTGTGCAGAGCTGTGCACACGTGTGTACACACAGAGCTGTGCACACTGACACATTCAGTGTCATACAGAACAGCACACGCGTGTRCAGAGCTGTGCACAGACACATGTAGTGTCATCCAGAGCAGCACACACATGTGCACACTGCTGTGCACACTGACACATACAGCATCATACAGAGCAGCACTCACACGTGCACAGAGCTGTGCACACATGTGTACACACAGAGCTGTGCACACTGACACATGTGCAGTGTCACACAGCAGCACACATGCTTGCACACAGCTGTGCACACAACACACACGTGCACACCAGCACATCCTTGTGCACAGTGCTGTGCAAACRAGGATGTGCACTCAGATCTGGGCACACCAGAAAGCACATGTGCACACAGCCATGCACACTGACACACATGTGCACAGCACCGTGCACCTCAGTACCTGTGTGCACACAGAGCCGTGCACACTGGCACACGTGCACACACGTGCACAGAGTCACACACGGGCACACACGTGCTCAGCACTCCCCCAGAGCCCTCCCGGCCCCCAGCCCCACGGGTCCCTACTCGTGGCGCGGGTGCTGCCGCAGCCCCCAGCAGGCAGCCAGCAGCCGGGGCTGGTGGTACAGCACCATCCCGGCCAGTGTCAGCGCCACGCCGGCRTAGCCCAGCGCGCCCAGCCGCGTGCCGAACAGCAGCCACGACAGCAGCAGGTTGCCCACCACGGTGAGGCTGCCCAGGAGGTGCAGCGTGAGGGCAGAGGTGAGGGACAGGAGGCAGGAGGTGGCCAGGTTGTAGAGGACGGAGCCCAGGCAGCTGAGCAGGACGCAGCCCCAGAGCGCGGCGTCGGGGCGAAGGACGCCCTGCCACGAGGGACCCAGCTCCAGCGCTACAGCTGCCCCAAACAGCAGCACGAAGCTGGGCAGGGACGTCAGGCCGAGCAGGGACAGCGCATCCAGACGGTCCTCCTGCAGCAGCACACCTGGGGGGACAGGGGACAGTCAGTGGGACATTCCATGGGGACATCCACCTGCTGCAGGGACACCCAGCACCCACCAACACGGGTCCAAGTGGCAAAGAAATCCCAAAAGTCACTGGGAAGGTGAGAATGACTGGGGGGCAGTTCCTTCCATGGGCTGGGGGTGCCCTGGTTTGCAGAATCCCAGTTCCTTGGTTTGGCTGTGTCTCTGTTCAGGGGTTTGGGACTCCTTCATTTCTGGGATTCCCTGGTTTATGGGTGCCCATATGGGTTTATGGTGCTTCCTGGCTCAGGAAGTCTCCCACTCTGGGGATGCCCTGGTTCAGAGGGTGTCTGGTTTCAAAGACTGGGGTTCGGGGATGAGGGTGCTACAGGGAGGGTTGGACAAGGCAGCTTTCCCAGCCCATTTTGGGGCATTTGTCCCCATGTCTCCCCCTCTGGGTCATCCGAGGACGGTGGGGACAGCAGGCACAGCAGGGCTGGCTGCCACACACAGACATAGTCCTACCCTCCCCAGGGCCACTGTCCCTGTCCCACCCGRGGTGAAAAGATGACAGGACAGTGGCACAATGACCAGCAGTGTCCCTTRGGAGGCCACAGCACCCCAGTACAGCCACGAGGACCTCAGGGCAGGCACAGGCCCCGTGCCAGAGCCCGTCCCCACAGTGCCCCGAGTCACAGGCTCCAGAGGAAACGCTCCCTTCCCAGCCAAAAACATTCCRGCTGGCTCCTCGCTGCCATCTGCCAAGGACACCGAGGCCTGGCTGGCACCGTGGCCACCAGAGTCCCCAGGAAGGGGGCACTCGCAGTGGGTCCAGCAGCCCACGGTGCTTGCAGCGAGCCCACGGGGACGGGACACGCTGGGTGACCCTGAGCCACACTGAGGCACTGCCACCCCACACGGCTCTGATGCCACATGACACCAATGGTGTCACCACCAACAAAGTGAAGTCACATCACCTCAGAGCCCTGAGCACGACGGAGGCAAGGGTGGCTCTGGGGTGGCACCAGGGACAGAGTGGGCAAAGGGTGGCACTGGAGCTGGAGTGATACAAGGGTGGCACCAGGGCCAACAGGGACAGCAGGTAGCACTGGCACTGGGGTGAAACTGGGAGCCAGAATGCCACCAGGGTCGGGGTGACAATGGAGTGCCACTAAGCCCAGGGTGGGCAGGGAATGTCACCAGCACCAGAGTGGCCCTGGGTGGGGATGGGGTCGCAGTGGGGCTGGAGTGACACCGGGGTGGGCAGCGGGTGGTGGGGCAAGCAGGGAGACCCCCCAGCACCAGTGTGACCCCAAAATGACACCAACACCGCTGCGCCCCAGGAGCCGCGCCAGTGGAAAGCAGACATGCAAGACGGGGAAGGGGACAGGTGGCACTTACTCTGCTGGATGGACTTGAGGGCGCGGAGCACAGTGGCAGCCAGCAGGAAGCCGCAGCCGGGCTGGGAGAAGCAGAGGCCGCCGGCGATGCTGCAGGCGGCCCCGGCGCACACCGGCCCCATGGCCCAGAACTGCAGCGGGTGCGGCCGGCGGCCCCCCAGCACCCCCAGCACCAGCGTCACCAGCGGCGTGGTGGTGGCCACGGCCTGCGCCACGTCCAGCTGCACGTAGCTCAGGCCCAGGTTGCCCAGGGCCACGCTGGTGCAGAAGGTGAGGCTGAGCAGGTAGATCCTGGCGCGGGGCCGGGGTCCCGGGACCCGCGCCCAGCCCAGCGGGTAGCCCACGGCCACGCCGGACAGCATGTGCAGCGCCGAGAGCAGCAGCGGGTAGCGGAACCCGTGCGCCGCGAAGATCCACTTGTTGAGGCCGGCCATGGTGGTGCCGGTGCCCAGCCAGGCCAGCACGCTGAGGGTCAGCGGCAGCGCCGGCCCCGGTGGCCGCCCCCCGTCCGCCTGCCCCGGGTCGGGCTTCCAGGGCCGCAGGCTCCCCTCGGCCGCCGGGCTCATCGCGGCTTCATCGCCCCGCCGCGACCGCGGGCACATGGGCACCGGCTCCGCTGCCTCCGGCCGCCCCTCGCCGCTCTGCCCCGTCCTCCCGAGAGCCCCGCGATGGGTGCMGGTGACAGCGGCGGTGATTGCGGCGCTGGCGCGGCGGCGGCGGCCGCGCTGTCCCCGCTGTCCGCGGTATCGTCCTCCGACCGAGAGTGCTGGCGGGGCTCAGCGCCGGGGTGGCGGTGCCATGTGCCGGGGAGGAGGCGGCGGCGGCCGGTGCCAGCGGAAAGTTTGGTGATGGCGGGAGCGGAGGGCGGAGGCTCCTCCCTGCCAGGCCATGGCGTCACTGCCGGGAGGGCGGGGCACGGCGGGCAGGGGCACGGCGGGACCGGGGACACACCCAGCCCGAGCGGCGGGGGCCGCGGGGCACCCCCGTTCAGATCCGGCCGCTCCGGGTGCGCGGCGGCTCCGTGGTGACAGCGGGGCCGCGTCCCAGCCCCGCCCGGCGCTCCCGGCCCCATCGCTCCCGGCCCGGGAGCCCGAACCGCACGGACACCCCCGCCCCGACACCGCCGCTGCCCCGGAGATTTCGGGGCTGGGATTAAACTTGCGGGGGAATCTCGCGGGTTTGGACACAACTGGGGTCCCCGAGCCCTGGGGCAGTGGGGGCTCAGCGCCCGCCCAGGGGGTTTTGGAGGAGGAGGATCCTAGCTGGCAGCTTGCTGAGGATGGACAGCGCTGACTCGGACTCCCCGGCTCTTTGGGMTTCCCAAAAATGCTCTGGACGCCCYCAAAATGGTTGCTCCTAGCAGCCGCCTGCCCTATCCTCACGTGGGACAGGACTGGAGGAGCTGCTGGTCTGGGTGTCCCCGTCCCGCTGCACCCTTAGGACTCCGGGGAATCGCGTGTGTTCCCTCCCCCTCCCCCCGGAGGGTTTGGGGTGGGGGCCCACGGAAAGCAGGAGGCAGGGAGCCGGCAGGTCCTGTGTCCACATCCATTGCYATCATTCATGTGTCCACATTCATTGGCATCACCCCCACCCACTACCACTCGCYGAGGCGCAGGATGAGGGTCTCCCCRTCTTGGGGTCTGTAGTCGGCGATGCCTGCGGAGAGAGGTCTGCAGGTGACACCGTGGCCATAGCACTGCAGGAGAACCCTGCCACCTCCCCAGGGACCCCCAGCCACCACTCACCCATCTGCAGGGGGGTGTCGGGCGCCYTCAGGAGCTGCCAGTAGTTGCGCTTCTCCTGCCGGGCCTCCAGCCCCAGCACGTGGGTCAGGAAAGGGCCATGGGCGGTGTCCTGGGTGTCGAACCTGCGGGGTGGCACAGCGGGGGCGGGGGTGAGGGTCCGGCTCGGGACAGAGCTGCTCTCAAGGGAGCTGCGCGGTGGGAACCGGGGGGAGCCCRTGGCGCTGGTGCGGGACACGAGGCCACCGCAGTGTGACCCCCGGGGAACCCGCGTGGGGCCACATACCTGAAGTCRTGGGGTTCCAGCGCAGCGGCCGCCTGCAGCACGTCCAGCAGGGAGGCGGCGGCGGGCACCGGCACCGCGCGATCATAGAGCCGGAGCTCGTCRCACCAGGGCAGGGGACACTCCACCTGCAGCTGCACCGTCTTGTTTCCTGGCACCTCACTCGGGGGCTCCATGTCCTCGGGGGTCAGCGTATCTGGGGGAAGCCACCGCAGYCCTGGTGACACCCAGCCACCACCATGGTGGTGTGGCCAGCCCCACCCCGGCTGCCCCCAGCTCCTACCCGGCTCCTCCAGGCAGGGCAAAGAGGAGATGTCCAGGTAGGAGCGGCCGTGCAGCACCGGCAGWGCCTGGGCCATGGTGGCGGCCGTGCCGAAGGCGTCCAGGTTRTYCAGCAGCGCAGCCACAGCCTGGCCRAAYRCCGGCTCCGTCCGGCATGCGCCCGTGGCCAGCAGCACCTGGCACAGGGAATGATGGAAGTGAGGGGAACAGGGAATAGGGTTGGGCACTCAGACTCTGCACACAGTGGAGCATCACCAGCCCTGGGGCAGCTGCCTCTGCCTGGGCACCCACACCTGCATCTGTGCCCCACATCAGCACCCGCACCCCACATCTGCACCCACATCTGCATCCCACAACTGCACTCACATCGCACAACTGCACCCACAGTTGCACCCCACATCTGCACCCGCATCTGCATCCCACAACTGCACCCACATCGGCATCCACACCCCACATCTGCACCTGCATCAGCACCTGCACCCCATACCTGCCCCTGTACCTACACCCACATTTGTACCCAAACCCCACACCTGTCCCTGTACCACACAGGGACACAGACCACACCCACATCTGCCCTGCTCCCACACTCACAGCTGCAGTCCTGCTTCCCCCATGCCCGTTCTCAGGGCCAGCCCAGATGTCCCCTCTGGTGACACMCACCTGCAGGGCCCACGGGGTGCTGTAGATGTTGCCGATGACAYCGTCGGGGCCCTGGGCTTTGGCCATGCTCCTGCTGGCCCCATGCACAACCTCCCGGAGCTCRCCCGCCAGCGTGGTCCCCACCAACCTCCTCCGCTCCAGGCAGGTGAAAGCCAGCGCCACCACGGCCTCCGTGTCTGCAGGGACACCCCGGTGTCACCCCGGGGTCACGSACCTGCTGGGTGCCACCGCCCGTGCCCACGGGTCCTTACCCACRGCACCGCTGCCGTGCCCGAGCCTGCCATGGCGCTGGGCCGCCAGGAGCCGCCGGATCACCTCCTCCCGCACCTGCTTGTGGTGCACRCACAGCGCCAACACGCCCAGTCCATACTGGTAGAAACTGCTGAGGGGGTGGCCGTGCCGCCGGGAGCCTGGGGACGAAGTGCGCTGTCACCGGGGCGAGCCAGTGTCCCATGGCCAGACGTGGCAGGCACTTACGCCGCACAGGGACACTCTCACCAGTCCAGTCCTCCTCCAGGTGGTACTTGAGCCACGTCACCAGCGAGCGGTGGGGACTCTTGGGGGGACAGGTGGCCCGCAGCCCCAGCAGGTACAGCGCCAGCCGCCCCGTCTGCGGCCGCTCCGCCGCGCTCCTGCAAGGCAGCGGTCACCTCCCAGGACACGGCCCGTGCTGTCACCTGCCCCGTGGGGACACAGGGGCAGCCACACCTACGTGCTGTGCTCGACGTCCCACCGAGAGTGGCCGTGGGCCTGCAGGCTCCTGTGGGGACAGAGCGTCAGCGTGGGGAGGGACGGGGGTGTCCCCAAAGGCACGCAGGGYTCCCGGGACCCACCTGCCGTAGGGGTGTCGGAAGGTGTCCTGCAGCCGCTCCAGGTAGCGCCGCTCCAGCCGCAGGTCGTGGTCAGGGGCCAGGCGCAGGGCCAGGTACACGGCGGGGTCGGGGTCCCGCGCAGGGTCCCCCGCCAGCCCCAGAAGCCGCGCACTCAATGCCCGCACGGCGCCCACAGAGTCCCCTGGGGGCTCTGCCCCAGCCCGGCAGAGGCAACGCAGATGAGGGGGCACCAGAGACCGAGATCCCCCCCCAAAAAAACAGCCTTGCTACCTCACAGCCCCCCCCAAAGCTGTGGGGACAGACCCCCAGCACCCACCCCTGCCACACTCCCCATACCCTCTTGTATCCCCCTTAAATCCCATAACCTCCATATTTCCCACCAAAACAAGAGAAAGAAACGAAGTAAGGGACATGATGTGAAGCGGGAGTGCAGAGAGCCCTAAAGGAGTGACACCCCTGTCCCCAGGGACCCGTGGGAGCGGTGGGCACGGGCTGGCTCCGGGCACGGGAAAGGGTTGCAGCAATCAGGATGGAGGAAGCTGAGCCCGGACAATTCGTCACCCAGGGCTGTCACAAGACCCCGTCCTCCCCAGGGCCCGGCTGGGGCAGGGGATGGGGCTCATCACCCCCAGCCCCGCTCCTCGGGGTCCCCCAGCGCAGGGCAAATCCCCGGGCCGGGGGATCCCGGGCGGGTTTGGGGGGACCGGGGCCGCACTCACCGCAGCAGCGGGCGGGCAGCAGCGCGGGCAGCAGCAGCACGACGAGCGGCAGCCACATGCTGGAGCGTGACAGGGGGGACACGGGGGTGACACAGCTGGGCACAGCACCGCCGGACAGCCGGGAGTGGCGGGATGAGCCGGGACGGGCCGGGGACAGGGACACGGACAGGGACAGGACGGGAAGGTGTGGCGAGGGGCCGCTTCCGCACAGCGGCGCCGACTCAGCACAAACGGGGCAGAACTTTGGCTGAGGCGCTGCCCGGGGGAGCGGGGGCAGCCCCGGCCAGCTCGGGACGCCCTGACCCGAGGTGCCGCCGTTCGGGTCAGCACCGGCGGTCACAGCCCGAAAATAGACGGGAATGGAACAGTGCCAAATCCGGCCCTTTTGGAAATGGCAACTCCCCTGCTCGCCTCCGACTGGGGTTTAATTGAGAAATGGAGATTGAGCAGCCGCGCCCGAGAGCCGAGGGACGGGCGTGGGGGCGGCGAACCCGAAAAAATGAATCCCTAAAGCCGGGGGGTGTGGGAGTAGTGAGCCCCGAAAGGTAAAACCGCCCTGCCCGAKGGAACGTGGAGTCCTGAGCCATAAAACCCAACCCCCCAGCCCAGGAGGGGGTCCCAAGGCAGCGCTGAGGATCCGTCAGCCTGGGGACACCCGAGCACGGGGGGGCGACGGCTCTGGGGGCTCCCCTGCCATCGAGACCCTCCGTGCCCGGCTGTGCCCWGAACACCCGCCCCACTGCGGGCCCCGCGGGCCGGTGCTGCGGCCTCAGGGACTACAAGAAGGTAGCGGGACCTCCGAGCCCGGACAGGGACCCGCTGAGCGAGATGCCGGTGTGTGACCGGCGACCGGCACCGGGCCCCAGTCCGGGAACCCCGCCCAGCCAGCTCTGCCTCGCTATATCCCGGTACACCCCGCGCAGGCCCGCCCCGGTACATCCCGGCGTGCTCCGCGTTCATTCCTGCCGCGCTGTATCCCAGTATGCACAGAGCTGCTCCGCCTCGGTATATCCCGGCATGCCTTGCGCTGCAAGGCCCCGATACATCCCAGCGCACTTTGTGCCACTTATGCCCCTCTATATCCCGGCATGCTGCGCGCTACCAGGCCTCGGTACATCCCGGCGTGCTTTGCGCCACCCTGGCCGCGCTATGTCCCAACATGCCCCACGCTGCCCCTCAATATCCCAGTGTGCCCCGCGCCCCAGGACCCCTCCTGGGAGGACTCTGAGCTGCCCGCTGTGCGCCTGACCGAGCTTCCCCTCTGCCTCCTGTCCCGGCCCCGCCGCCCCCCCGAGCCTCTCGTTCTGCCCGCGCTGTTCTCCGTGTCCGCGCTGTTCTCCGTGTCCGCGCTGTTCTCCGTGTCCGCGCTGTTCGCCGTGTCCGCGCCGCCCTGGTGCCCGGTGCGGGGCCGCTCCGGTGTGCGCAGGCCCGGCCGCGGGCGCAGGCGGGGCGCGGGCAGCCCGGGGTCCTGCATTGCGCGGGCGCACGTGGCGGCGGCGGCGGCGGGACCATGGGCGGGCTGGAGAAGAAGAAGGTACCGGGCCCTTCCCCGCCCGTCCCGCCGGCCGCGGTCACACTCCCGGGCCTTTGCCCGTCCCCCGTTGCCTTCCCGTGCCGTGTCCCTCTCTTTCCCTTCCTCCTCGGTGCTGTCTCCGTCCCTCCCCCCGGTGTCGGTGCCGGTCCGTGCCTGCTCCCCCCGCTCCGGTGCCAGTGACATCCCCCAGCCGTGTCGCGCTCCTCCGCCCCTCCCCGGTAGCGGTGCTCCTCTCCCGGTGCCCGATTCCCGGCCGTGCCTCTTGGCCCCTCCCCGCCCCCATCCCGCCGTTCCCGTTTCTCCTCTCTCCGGTCCCGGTGGCCCCGGGGTGGTTGTGGGGGTCCCCTCAGCACCTCCGAGCCCCCCCAATGCCGCAATCTCTCCCCAGTACGAGCGCGGAGCCGCCACCAACTACATCACCCGGAACCGGGCCCGTAAGAAGCTGCAGCTGAGCCTGCCTGACTTCAGGTGCGCCGGGACCCCCAGAACCCCCGGACCGAGCCCCCGCCCCTGAACCCGCATCCCTCCGGTGCCCTCAACTGCCCCGGACCCCCGATCCCTACCCAGGGAAGCGACGGGAGCGGTGGGGTGGCCCTGGGACCTCCCAAACCCCTCCCCCGGGATCCCTTCCCAAACCCCCTGAAAATCCCCTAAGCGCCCCGTTCCTCTGGGCTTTCCCCTCTCAGATCCCCCGGGGCAGCCTGAACACCCCAAGAGCCCCCGTGGGACCCCTGAACTGCCCTCAGACTCTGCAGACCCCCTGCTCCCCCTCAGGCACCCCACAGCCCGTCAGTTCTGCCCATCCAGACCCCACTGATCGCTCCCCTGGGACCCCAATCCCTACCTGGGGACACAGAGGGATCCGAAATGTGCGCTGGGTGTGTGGGGTGGCCTTGGGGCACCCTGATGTCCCCTGTCTCTCAGGCCCATGGAGCGGTGTCCTGTGTGTCCTGGACTTCAGGCTGCCAAGTTTGGGGTTCCCCCTCCAAGGGATGGGCCCAGGGTGTCCCAGGGAACACAGGGGTGCCCTGTCCCCCCCCATCCCAGCCCTGTCCTTGTCCCCAGGCGTCTCTGCATCCTCAARGGCATTTACCCCCATGAGCCCAAGCACAAGAAGAAGGTGAACAAAGGCTCCACTGCGCCCAGGACCTTCTACCTGCTCAAGGACATCAAATTCCTGCTCCATGAGCCCATCGTCAACAAATTCCGGGAATACAAGGTGATTTTCCCACCCGAGTGGCCCCTGGGGGTGGTCCTGTGCCACAGAACCCCCACATCCCCCTGTCCCCCCAGGTGTTTGTCCGGAAGCTCCGCAAGGCGTACGGGAAGAGCGAGTGGGGCACYGTAGAGCGGCTGAAGGACAACAAACCCACCTACAAACTCGACCACATCGTCAAGGAAAGGTGAGGCAGCCCTGGGGCCCAGCACAGGAGGGACATGGAGCTGCTGGAGGAGTCCAGGGGAGGCCACAGAGCTGCTCCAGGGCTGGAGCCCCTCTGCTCTGGAGCCAGGCTGGGAGAGCTGGGGGTGCTCACCTGGAGAGGAGAAGGATCCAGAGAGAGCTCAGAGCCCCTTTTGGGGCCTAAAGGGGCTCCAGGAGAGCTGGAGAGGGACTGGGGACAAGGGATGGAGGGACAGGACACAGGGAATGGCTTCCCAGTGCCAGAGGGCAGGGATGGATGGGATATTGGGAAGGAATTGYTCCCTGGGAGGGTGGGGAGGCCCTGGCACAGGGTGCCCAGAGAAGCTGTGGCTGCCCCTGGATCCCTGGCAGTGCCCAAGGCCAGGCTGGACATTGGGGCTGGGAGCAGCCTGGGACAGTGGGAGGTGTCCCTGCACATGGCAGGGGGTGGTATAGGATGAGCTTTGAGGTCTCTTCCCAACCAAACCATCCAGGGATTTTCTGATCCATCACAGCATTCGTCCCTCTCTGGGAATCCCCATTGTGTGTAATTCTGGAGGTTTTGATGGAAGTTGGTGTTTCTGGGCTGGAGAAGAGGGAATGAGCGAGCTTGGAATGCCCAGSTGGCTCCAGGAGGACCCAGGGAACTCCCTGCTCTCCCCGTGGGGTGTTTTCCTTGGAGGGCTGGTGAGGGGTTAGTTCTGCCAAGGTTTTGGTGAGTTTGGTGACAGCGAGCGAGGAGGGGACACAGGAGGGAGGAAACCCCACAATCCTTTGAGTCCCTCCATAAATCACGATATTCCACGATTCCCTGACCAGCTTTACTGGCATGTGCAGATGGATGCTCCACAATTCCCATTCTTTTTCTCACCCAGGGTGTCCCCCAGCCCCAGCAGCTTTTGCCGGGCTCGGGGCTGGCTGTGACCCCCTTTGTCCCCCCCGGGCACAGGTACCCCACGTTCATCGATGCCCTGCGGGATCTGGACGATGCCCTGTCCATGTGCTTCCTGTTCTCCACCTTCCCCCGCACGGGCAAGTGCCACGTGCAGACCATCCAGCTGTGCCGGCGCCTGGCCGTGGAGTTCCAGAACTACGTCATTGCCTCGCGCTCCCTGCGCAAGGTGGGGCTGCAGCCATGGGGGGAGGCCTGGGGGGGTGTGGGGGGCTGCCTTTGGGCTCTGCGGGGTCAGATCACGGATCTCCCTGGGATCTGGTGCTTTCTGAGGAACCTTCTGGTGGGGGAAGGGGTGACAAGGACAGGGACACAGCAGCTCGGGGGTTTCTTCCTGCTGAGCCTTYGCTCTGTCCTGCCAGGTGTTCCTCTCCATCAAGGGCATCTACTACCAGGCCGAGGTGCAGGGCCAGCCCATCACCTGGATCACCCCCTATGCCTTCGCCCATGATGTGAGTACCTGGGGAGAGCTGGGGGATCACCAGGGAAGGGTGAGGGGCCATCCCCTGGCACCAGGCTCAGGAGGCACATGGGGACACAGCCCTCGGTCACCCCGGGATGCCCCGGGGCTGCCTGTGCCAGTCTCCCCAGTTCCTCCTGTCCTCAGTTATCCATGTGCTCCTTTATCATCCATTAAAGATTAACCTGTGGGAGCGTGGCTGCTGRAGCAGAAGAAAGGGATGAGTCAGATCCTGCACCTCAGCCAGGGGGTTCTGCTGGGGCCCCCAGGCAGCAGGACAAAGGGAGGTCCCCACCATGCAGGGACAGCTTCCCCTGAGCCTTGGCAGGGGGTCACGGGCACAGCAGGGCTCCTGGGATTTCCAGGGCCAGGCAGGGTGGGGTTAAGGYTTTGTGGTTTTGTGGTTCTGAATCAGAATCCTGGAATGTTTTCAATTGGAAGGGATGTTAAAGCTCACCTTGTCCATGGGCAGGGACATTTTGCACTGTCCCAGGTGGCTCCAGAYACCATCCAACCTGACCTTGAACAGTTCCAGGGGTGGGACAGCCACACCTGGGCATGCTGTGCTAGGGAATCATCACCCTCCTAGGTGATTCCTTCCCAATATTCCATCTACCCCTGCCCTCTGGCAGTGGGAAGCTATTGCCCCTTATCCCACTGTTGTCCAGCTCYGCTGTGTCCTGAACTCCTCACCTTGAGGAGCTGGAGTCCCTGGACCAAGCCCCAAGGTCCCTATCCATGATGGCATAAGGTGCTCCTTGTGCCCAGGGGTGGCAGCAGGACCCTGGTAGGAGCCTGGAGAGCCCTCCCTGCCCAGGGTCTGGTGGTGGCTGTGATCCCTCCGTGACACTGGCAGGCTCAGGCTGRAGAGCAGGGAAAGGTTCTYCTGTCCCCAGAGGGTGCTGGCACTGCCCAGGCTCCCCAGGGAATGGTSMCAGAGCTCCAGGAGCGTTTGGACAGCGCTGCCAGGGATGCACAGGGGGGATTGTTGGGGGCTCTGGGCAGGACTGGGAGCTGGACTGGATGATCCTGTGGGTCCCTCTGTACCTGTGGATGGGATGGGCTCCTGTCCCTGTCCCGTTTAACTCTATGTCCCCTATCCCATGTGCCGACAGCATCCCACAGATGTGGATTACAGGGTCATGGCCACCTTCACCGAGTTCTACACCACCCTCCTGGGCTTCGTCAACTTCCGCCTCTACCACTCCCTGAACCTCCTGTACCCCCCCAAGGTGAGGCCACCACCCACGCCCCAGGTCGCTGTGTCCCACCCTGGGGTGCTGGCAGCCTGGATTGCTGGGAGGGAGGGTGGAAATGTGGGATTTTTGGGGTCTCTGTTTTTGGGAGCTGCCTCCACTCTCCYGTTCCTCCGCAGATCGACAGCCAGGCTGAGGACGAGCTGAAGCCTGCGGAGGGCAAAGAGTATGCCATGGATTCGGAGAGCTACCTGGAGGTGAGGGACACTGCTGGCACTGGGATCGTGGAGATGCTGCTGGCACTGGGATCATGGGGACACTGCTGGCACTGGGATCGTGGGGACACTGCTGGCACTGGGATCGTGGGGACACTGCTGGCACCGGGATCGTGGGGACCCTGCTGGCACTGGGATCGTGGGGACCCTGCTGGCACTGGGATCGTGGGGACCCTGCTGGCACTGGGATCGTGGGGACCCTGCTGGCACTGGGATCGTGGGGACACTGCTGGCACTGGGATCGTGGGGACACTGCTGGCACTGGGATCCATGGGGATGCTGCTGGTGCCA